TTCAACATCAGAACTTGTTATTGGTCTGCTCAGGGATTTGACTTCTTCCTGGTTTCTTTTTAGGATGGTGTATGTGTCCAAGAATTTATCCATTTCTTCTAGATTTTCTAGTTTATTTACATAGAGGTGTTTATAGTATTCTGAGATGGTAGTGTGCATTTCTGTGGGATCAGTAGTGATATCCTCTTTATCATTTTTTATTGTATCTATTTGATTCTTCTCTCTTTTCTTCTCTATGGGTCTAGCTAGTGGTCTATCTATTTTACTAATTTTTTCAAAAATCCAGCTCCTGGATTCGTGGAGTTTTCGAAGGGTTTTTCATGTCTCTATCTCCCTCAGTCCTGCTCTCATCTTAGTTATTTCTTGTTTTCTGCTGGCTTTTCAATTTGTTTGCTCTTGCTTCTCTAGTTCATTTAATTGTGATATTAGGGTATCAATTGTAGATCTTTCCAGCTTTCTGATGTGGGCATTTAGTGCTATAAATTTCCCTCTTAACTCCGCTTTAGCAGTGTCCCAGAGATTCTGGTACGTTGTCGCTTTGCTCTCATTGGTTTCAAATAACTTCTTTATTTTTGCCTTAATTTTGTTATTTACTCAGTAGTCATTCAGGAGAAGGTTGTTCAATTTCCACGTAGTTGTGCAGTGCTGAGAGTGAGTTTCTTAATCCTGAGTTCTAATTCGATTGCACTGTGGTCCGAGAGACTGTTATGATTTCTGTTGTTTTGCATTTGCTGAGGAGTGTTTTACATCTAATTATGTAGTCCATATTAGAATAAGTGTATGTGGCAGTGAGAAGAATGTACATTCTGTTGATTTGGGTTGGAGAGTTCTGTAGATGTCTATTAGGTCTGCTTAGTCCAGAGCTGAGTTCAAGTCCTGAATATCTTGTTAATTTTCTGTCTCATTGGTCAGTCCAATGTTGACCAATATTAGACTGTTAAACTCTCCCACTATTATTGTGTGGAGTCTAAGTCTTTTTGTAAACCTCTAAGAACTTGTTTTATGAATCTGGGAGTGCATGTATTGGGTGCATACATATTTAAGATAGGTAGCTCTTCTTGTTGCATCGATCCCTTTACCATTATGTAATGTCCTTCTTTGTCTTTTTTGATCTTTGTTGGTTTAAAGTCCATTTTGTCAGAGACTAGGATTGAACCCCTGTTTTTTTTTTTCTTGGTAAATATTTCTCCATCCCTTTATTTTGAGCCTATCTATGTCTTTGCAAGTAAGATGGTTCTCTTGAATACAGCACACTGATAGGTCTTGACTCTTTATCCAGTTAGACAGTCTGTGTTTTTTAATCAGGGCATTTAGCCCATTTACATTTAAGGTTAATATTGTTCTGTGTGGATTTGACCCTGTCATCATGATGCTAGCTGGTTATTTTGTACATTAGTTGAAGGAGTTTCTTCACAGTGTCATTGGTCTTTATATTTTTGTATCTTTTCGAAGTGGCTGGTACTGATTTTTTCTTTACATATTTAGTGGTTCCTTACAGAGCTCTTGTAATGCAGGCCCAGTAGTGACAAAATCCCTCAGCATTTGCTTGTCTAGGAAGCATTTTATTTCTCCTTTGCTTATGAAGCTTAGTTTGGCTGGACATAAAATTCTGGATTGAAAATTCCTTTCTTTAAAAAAGTTCAATATTGGCTCCCACTCTCTTCTGGCTTTCTGCAGAGAGATCTGCCATTAATCTGATTGACTTCCCTTTGTAGGTAACTTGACCTTTCTCTCTGGCTGCCTTTAACATTTTTTCCTTCATTTCAACATTAAAGAATTAAATTATCTGTCTTGGAGTTGTTCTTCTCAAGGAGTATATTAGTGGTGTCCTCTGTATTTCCTGAATTTGAATGCTGGCCTGTCTTGCTAGGTTGGGGAAGTTCTTCTGGATAATAACCTGAAGTGTGTTTTCCATCTTGGTTCCATTCTCCCTGTCACTTTCAGGTATACCAATCAATCATAGGTTTGGTCTTTTCACAGAGTCATATATTTCTTGGAGGCTTTGTTCATGCCTTTTCATTTTGTTTTCCTATTCTCATCTTCACACCTTATATCAGTAAGTTGCTCTTCAATCTCTGATATCCTCTCTTTTACTTGGTCAGTTCAGCTATTGATACTTGTTAATGCTTCACAAAGTTCTCATTCTGTGTTTTTCAGCTCCATCAGATCATTTGTGTTCCTTTCTAAACTGGTTATTCTAGTTAGCAGTTCCTATAACCTTTTATCAAGGATCTTAGCTTCCTTGAATTGGGTTAGAACATGTTCCTTTAGCTCAGAGGAATTTGTTATTACCCACCTTCTGAAGCCTACTTCTGTCAATTCATCAATCCCATTTTCTGTCGAGTTTTCTGCCCTTCCTGGAGAGCAGCTGTGATCATTTGAAGAACAGGCATTCTGGTTTTTGGAATTTTCATCATTTTTGTGCTGGTTTTTCCTCCTCTTAGTGGATTTATCTACCTTCGATCTTTGAGGTTGATAACCTTTGGATGGGGTTTTTGTGGGGGGGTTCTTTTTGTTGATGTTGATGTTGTTGTTTTCTATTTATTAGTTTTTCTTCTAACAGCCAGGCACCTCTTCTGCAGGGCTGCTGCAGCTTGCTGGAAGTCCACTCCAGACCTTGTTTGCCTGGGTATCACCAGTGGAGGCTATAGAACAGCAAAGATTAGTGCCTGTTCCTTCCTCTGGAAGCTTCATTCCAGAGGGGCACCAGCCTGATGCCAGCCAAAGCTCTCCTGTATGAGGTGTCTGTTGACCCCTGTTGAGAGGGTGCTCCCAGTCAGGAGACACAGGGGTAGGAGGAACCCACTTGAGGAGGCAGTCTGTCCCTTAGCAGGCTGGTGTGCTGTGCTGATAGAATTCCTCTTGTCAGGAGCAGCTGCTGTCTTCAGAGCTGGCAGACAAAAACTATTAAATCCACTGACACTACGCTCACAGCTGCCCCTTCCTCCAGGTGCTCTGTCCCAGAGACACGGAGGTTTTGTCTGTAGGTCCCTGACTAGGGCTGTTACCTTTCCTTCAGGGATGCCCTGGGCAGTGAGAAGGAATCTAGAGAAGCAGTCTGGCCCCAGCCATGTTGCCACACCCAGCCCAGACTTCCCAGCCTCCTTAGCACTGTCATGGGAAAACCACCTTAAGCTTCAGTAATGCAGATACCCATCCCCGACACAGCTCCATCATCTCAGGTTGACTTCAGACTGTTGTACTGGCAGCAAGAATTTCAAGCCAGTGGTTCTCAGTTTGCTAGGCTCCATGGGAGTGAGACCTACTGAGTGAACCCACTTGGCTCCCTGGCTTCAGCCCCATTTCTGGGGTAGTGAACAGTTCTGTCTCACTGAGGTTACAGGTGCCACTGGGGTAAGAAAAAAACTCCTGCAGCTAGCTTGGTGTCTGCCCAAATAGCAGCTCAGTTTTGTGCTTGAAACCCAGGGCCCTGGTGGTATAGACACACAAGGGAATCTCCTGATCTCAGTTGGAAATGCAGAAACCACCCACCTTCTGCATCGGTCTCACTGGCAGCTGCAGACTAGAGCTGTTCCTATGCAGCCATCTTGCCCCTTCCCCCATTCATTCTTAATAGGAGTCAGAGGAGGATTTTGGTTTAAAGCATGGGCCCTAAGATTCCAGTCCTTATTGAAACCCAGCATTATCATCACTTATTAGGTGTTTCACCTTGAGCAACCAAAACATCACTAAGCCCCACTTTCTACACCTATAATATGGTAATGATAATGACTGAAATAAACTCATGGGGTGCTAGGGAGATTAACTGAGATAAATGCAAGTAAATTGCCTAGCATGCTATCCATTGCATAGTCACTTATTCGACAAATGTCAACCTGGGTTATCATTTTCCAGACAACTTTCTGCATAGGGCATCATGCCTGGTGAATGGAGAAGTTTCACAATGACTCCAGCTCACCAACAATGGAATGAGAGGCTTTAATTTGTAGATGGAGTTAAGGGCTTCACAAACATAATTTTAGGCACATGGAATTTTGCCTTAAACATTGGCTACAGAAAAGGTGCACTCTGATAGACCTTTTCCAATATAATCAACATATTAGAATTCAGGCCTTTGTGGCTCCAAGTATCATACCATTTACATTTAAACTGGTCACTTTCAAGCCTGCCAAATTTGGGCAACACTGGTCACCTAAACACACCAAGTCTCAGTTTTCTCACTGGTGAAATGGGGATGCTGACATCTGACCTGCCCATTCCACAGAATGGCTGTGAAGGCCTAAGAAGATAAGGATTGGGAGAGTCTTTTGTAAGCAAAAAAAATGCACTCTGCAAGTGTAACTCAGCATTGTTGCTATTATTATTACTACTAATAATAATATCATTGGTCAGGGGAAAGTTTTGTAATTATATAGTTTGGTTTAATTTGTTTGTTTGTTTGAGTTGGGTTTGATGTTAGGTTTTTTCTGCCTAATTTTTTGCTAAATCGCCTTTCCTATCTATCTGTCCCCATTTCTCTCTCTTATCTCTTTTCTCCAGATGTCCTAAATCTTGATTATATCATGGCCCCTCAGTGGCCTGCAAATTCCATTCCTATCAACCACACCCACACTATAATGTCTGGATTTTTCCTCTTCCTCATTCTAATCAAAATTTGGTACTGGGTGGGCACAGTGGCTCACAGCTGTAATCCCAACATTCTGGGAGGCCAAGGCAGGCCTCAAGGCAGATCACAAGGTCAAGTGATCAAGACCATCCCGGCCAACATGGTGAAACCCCACCTCTACTAAAAATACGAAAATTAGCTGGATATGCTGGCGCATGCCTGTAGTCCCAGCTCCTCAGGGGTCTGACACACAAGAATCACATGAACGCAGGAAGCAGAGACTGTAGTGAGCTGAGATCGCACCACTGCAGTCCAGTCTGGTGACAGAGCAAGACTCTGTCTCAAAAATAAAAATAAAAAATAATTGGTCCTGTGCATTTTTACCTTTGGTTTTTATCCCCAGTTATAAAATCAATAGCTTGCCCCCAGTTACCTTGTTGCAAGGTACGGTCTGATTTCCCAACTTCAGTAGTGGCTGATAGTCTTCTTCTGTGATTTTGCAAGGATGTTTTGAAATAAACGCACCCTTAAATGCATCCCATATGTTTTGACAGTCTACATGTCTGTGAGATAAAACACAGAAAATAAAATAAAACATGAATTATTACGTTAAAAAAATCTTTGGAACATAACTATTTTTTGGAATCTCATTTAGGAAACAACTATTATGTGCCAGGTAGTCCATACATATCATTCCATCTAATATGTGGTCTACAAGAGATACAAAGAGGAGCTGGTACCATTCCTTCTGAAAATATTCCAAACAATAGAAAAATAGGGACTCCTCCCTAACTGAGGCCAGCATCATTCTGATACCAAAGCCTGTCAGAGACACAACAAAAAAAGAATATTTCATCCTAATATCCCTGATGAACATAGATACAAAAATCCTCAATAAAATACTGGCAAACCAAATCCAGCAGCACATCAAAACCTTGTCCACCATGATCAAGTCAGCTTCATCTCTGGGATGTAAGATGGTTCAACACACACAGATCAATGAACATAACTCATCAAATAAACAGAACTAATGACAAAAACCACATGATTATCTCAATAGATGCTAAAAGTCCTTTGATAAAATTCAACATCCCTTCATGCTAAAAATTTTCAATAAACTAGGTATTGATGGAACATATCACAAAATAAGAGCTATTTCAGACAAATCCATAGCCAATAGCATACTGAATGGGCAAAAGCTGAAATCATTCCCATCAAAAACCGGCACAAGACAAGGATGCCCTCTCTCATCACTCCTATTCAACATAATATTGGATGTTCTGACCAGGGCAATCAGGCAAGATAAAGTAATAAAGCATATTTATATAGGAAGAGAGAAAGTTAAATTGTCTCTCTGTGCAGACAACATGTTTGTATACTTAGAAAACCCCATTGTCTCAGCATAAAAAACTCCTTAAGCTGATAAGCAAGTTCACCAAAGTCTCAGGATACAAAATCAATGTGCAAAAATCACAAGCATTCCTAGACACCAATAATAGACAAGAAGAGAGCCAAATCATGAGTTAATTACCATTTACAATTGCTACTAAGACAATAAAATACCTAGGAATACAACGTACAAGAGACGTATAGGACTTCTTCAAGGAGAACTACAAACCACTGATTAAGGAAATAAGAGAGGACATAAACAAATGGAAAATAATGCCATGCTTATGGATAGGAAGAATTAATGTCATGAAAATGGCCATTCTTCCTGAAATAATTTATAGATTCAATACTATTCCCATTAAGCTACCATTGACTATCTTTGTAGAATTAGAAAAAACTACTTTAAATTTCATATGGGACCAAAAAAGAGCCTGTACAGCCAAGACTCTACCTGACTACAAACTATACTACAAGGCTACAGTAACCAAAACAGCATGGTACTGGTTCCAAAACAGATACATAGACCAATGGAACAGAACAGAGGCCTCAGAAATAACACCACACATCTACAACCATCTGATCTTTGACAAACCTGATAAAAACAAGCAATGGTAAATGAATTCCCTATTTAATAAATGGTGCTGGGAAATCTGGCTAGCCATATGCAGAAAACAGAAACTGGACCCCTTCCTTACATCTTATATAAAAATTAACTCAAATGGATTAAAGACTTCAATGTAAAACCATAGAAGAAAATTTAGGCAATACCACTCAGGACATAGTCATGAGCAAAGACTTCATGACTAAATCACCAAAAAAAAAGTACAGCAAAAGCCAAAATTGACAAATGGAATCTAAACTAAAGAGCTCTGCACAGCAAAGGAAATTATCATCAGAGCGAACAGACAACCTACAGAATGGGAGAAAATATTTGCAGTCTATCCATCTGACAAAGGTCTAATATCCAGAATCTACAAGAAACTTAAATAAATTTACAAGAAAAAAAATAAAAGAACCCCATCAAAAAAAATGAGTGAAGGATATTAACAGACATTTCTCAAAAGAAGACATTTATGTGGCCAACAAACATGTGAAAAAAAGCTTATGATCACTGGTCATTAGAGAAATGCAAATAATGTCCTTCAAAGGACACCAACAAGAAAGTGAAAACAAAATTCACAGAATGGATTAAAATATTTGCAAATATTATTTCTGTTTCAGGACTTGTATCCAGAATAATAAAGAGCTCTTATAATTAAATAATAAAAGGACAACTCAATTAACAAATTGGCCAAGTATTTTAATACACATTTTTTCATAAGGGATATAAAAATAGCTAACAAACACATATAAAAATGCTCAACATCATTAGCCACTAGGGAAATGAAAATCAAAACCAAGAGATACCACTTACTACTCAGTAGGATTGACGTCCTCACCCCAGTACCTTAAAATGTGACCTTTTAAAAATAGAACAATTGTAGGTGTAATTAATTAATGCGAGGGTGGCATCCAACGATCATCTTTTAATAAGCCCTCCAGGCAATTCTGAGGCAAGTTTAGGTTTGAGAATGATTGGGTCATACACAAAAAAGTGAAGAGTTCAGCAGTGGTTTCTTTCCGATATCTGAGCAACATATTTCCACTTCATCCAACGCTTGCCTTTGGAAGCCATGCCAGGAAACCATTATCAATCTGGTTTTCTCCATACATTACATTTAAGGAAAGAAAGCTTATTACATTATGCACTTCAATGTCAATCAAAATTTATGGGGCACCATTGTGGACATTTTAGAGAAAAGAGATTTGGCAGCTATTTCACTTTAAGGAATCTTGTTTTAATTCCATTAATTAATGCAGTGGCCTTCTCAGGTACTTCTCCAACTCCCTCGCAAAACTCTTCTACATCTTTCCTTAGCAGCATCTTTGCAAACGAAGATGGAAGAACAAGAGAATTTTCCACTACAAAATATCTGGCAGGAAAGAGAGATTAATGTGCAGAGCAGCTACAGGTACCAGATGCTCTCATAAGTGTCTTCATATATAAACACCAAAACTTTTATTGAATCCCAGAGAGAATTAAAAGACCTCCAGAATTATTTTTATACTTCTTAGATATATATACCATACTTCAAGAAACATTACCTCAGCATTCAAAAAAGTCCAGGTTTCAAATTTAACAGAATTCCTTGTTTAGATGGAGCAGAACTATAGAGCATTAGAATTGAAACAGACCTTGGAAGAGTTTGTAACTTCACTCTCTGCCCTTTCTACATCTCAAGAATCTGAGCTTTCAGTGTGCTCTACATATAAGAGAAAATGAGGAGAGGCAATGAGAAATTGGGGGCAGGTTTTATGAAGCTATTTGTTTTATCCTTAAAACCAAACACCTCACCTTGGTTGGGCAAGTCGATTTTTTTATTGGTTTAAATATGTATGATGCAATAAAAAGGGATTGGAACTGCAGTAGACAGGGATGGGGGCAGATCTTTCCAGCTAAAGAGGCAGCAGAGAAGGACTGAGTCATTTCTGAAAGTTCAGTAATATTTTTCTTCAAAGATTCTTCTGTTCCAAAATTGGAAGCCTTAGTCATGGGAGTTCTAGAGGTGTTGCAGTTGGGACAGGGACAGAGTGTAGCAATTGTTGGCTCAGCAGCTGTTCCTGAGAGTTCACTCTGTGCCTGTGATTTGCTCCTTCCTAAGCCCGAAGTGCTGTTGGAAATCCTCCTATTCAGAAGTTCTCAGCTCTGGCCACACTTCAAGGTCACCCAAAGAGCTTTGGAAAAGATGCAGTGCCGGCTTTCAGACCCACAAAGTCAGAATGGGGAAAGTGGAAGACCCCAGAACCTAGAATATCTAAAAAAGTCTCACAAGCGATTCTAATGGTCAATGAGGGTTGACGACAAGTAATCTAACAAAACTCTTTCATTTCACAAATGAGGAAATGAAAGTTTATAAAGGAAACGTGACTAGCTCAAGGTCACACAGCAGTTAAATGTTAGACCACCAGTTATTCAACTGAGTTTTCCTCGGCACTTAAATTCAGGCAGAACCAGAAGCCACAAGTGACCCCTGATTCCTTCTACCACCTCCCTCCACTGCTACTGCCTTACTTTACTTTCATTTCTTACAGCCAGTTAGGCAACAATCAGCAATGAGTAATCACTGTAATAATTATAACAACCACAACAATTAGCATTTAGCAAGCACTTTCTTCACGCAGGCATCTGGCTAAGTGTTTTACAGGCATCACATTGGATCACACAAACCTATTATTGTTATCCCCATTTTACCTATAAACTCAGAATACCAAAGAACTCCCCCAAAATTCTGCAACTAGAATATCCCAGCTAGAATTTGCATCTTACATTGCCCAAGTCCAGACCCCATACCCTTAGCCACTTCATCAGACAGCCTCCCAAGAGGCCATCCCAAACATCGCTTCTAAGAACAGAGGGCTGTTCTACAGTATTTATAGAGAAAGAGAAGCTTGTCTTAAATTGCTCTTTTTTCAGAGCCACCTGACTCAGCCACTATGATGGAACCAAATAGTTACCAGAGGGCCCAGACAAGGCTAATGCAATCAAGCAAACAAATCTGAAAGTAATTCTTAACATTGTTTTGAACTGTTCAACTATAATTCCTTCATCCTAAGACTTTAAAACCAGGGCATCCTCAATGATTGTCTCTCCAAAAGAAAACTTGGAGAAATTACTCCACACTGTTCAATCCATGTTTAGGAATAGCCATCCGTGGACAGTTGGAGTGTACAGTTGTTTTGGGACCTTCTATTCTCCTCCTTATATTCACAATTTTTTTCTGTGATAAGCATATATGACAATAGGGGTCATAATAAAACTTTGATTTTCTTGTTAAATTGCCTGAGCAACTATACCAAATGTTGGAGAATCTTGGAGGGTCTTAGGAAATGGGAACATCTCAGGTCCCATTTCCTAAAAATCAAAGGCACTGTGACAATCAGGCTGCCATAATCAGTGTTTATGCTTGGCTGAAGCTCCGTGATCAGCTTCTGAACAAGACAACTAACCTACTGATGAAAGTTTTCCTGGAAAGCTGGAGAAGCCTTGATCTGATAGCAGTTTTCTGCTCGCCTCCTCAAATGGTGACCTGGAGGCTCAACACAGCATAGACTGGGCACGAATGCCAAGAATCAA